TGCCTAACTAGTGTAGTGTAGTTTCTTGTAGGCTTCTCTGCCATCGTTGTAAGCTGCCTAGAATTTTTTGAAAAAAAAAACAAGAAAAAAAAGTCCAACAAAAAAACGGCCGTATTTTTGCCAAAACCACCGTAATTTACAACCGTAAATTACAGACCGTAATTTACGATTGCCGTATTTTTGAACCTTGAGCCCCACACCAGACCACACCACACCACACCACACCACACCACACCACACACCTGGGTGGCGATGCCAATCCACACACACCAAACCTAACCCAAGCACCTTCAGTTCGCCCCAACACACCTGGGTGGCAATGCCGGCATGGTCCGTCCCTGGGACCCAGCACACATTGTATCCGCTCATGCGCTTCCACCGCACGATCGTGTCCTCCACTGCTGCTGTCAGGCCGTGGCCGATGTGCAGAGCCCCCGTCACATTGGGAGGGGGCACCACCTGTACGGGAGAAGTGGGGTTGCGGGAGGGGAGAAGGGAAAGGAGAAAGGTTGATGTGGGAGTGTGGGGAAGGGAGGACATGGGGAAGGGAGGACATGGGGAAGGGAGGACATGGGGAAGGGAGGACATGGGGAAGGGAGGACATGGGGAAGGGAGGACATGGGGAAGGGAGGACATGGGGAAGGGAGGACATGGGGAAGGGAAGCTCCTCCACTGCTGCTGTCAGCCCGTGGCCGATGTGCAGCGCACCGGTCACATTCGGGGGAGGCTCGACCTGCAGGATGGTGGAGGGGGGGAGGGGGAAGGGGGTGGAGGGCAGCGAGAAGCGAAGCGAGCAGAGAGTGGTTCGGTAGCCAAGCAACAATGGGCTCATGTAGGACTGTTTCCAACCAGGCTATGAGAATGGGATCAGATCAGATCAGATCAGACCAGATCAGATCAGATCAGATCAGACCAGATCAGATCAGATCAGATGCAAGCAATGAAGGCAATTGATGAAGGAGTTGAAGTAGGACAAGAATGCTTACAATGACAAATGGCAACTTGGTGGATATTTTAGTCGACTCAAAAACCGTGTGTGATAAGTCGATTTTTGAGTCGACTCAAAAAAGGCAATTGATGAAGGAGTTGAAGAAGGACAAGAGTGCTTACAATGACAAATGGCAACTTGGTGCTCTGGCTGTCGCCCTTGAAGAACCCTGCATGCTCCATCCGGGGTAAACCCACCAATGCCTTTTATTGAGGCGCCTCATACATAAGAGGGGCAAGATCACTCACAATGACAAAGGGAGGCTTGGTGCTCTGGTTGTCGCCCTTGAAGAACCCTGACTGCTCCCACCACTCGTACCACCTGGTGGTGGGGTTGTGTTGTGAGGCCAAGCAAGGAGCGGAAGACAAGGAAAGAGATGGAGAGAATCAGGAGAGACAGAAGGAGGCTTGGTGCTCTGATTGTTGCCCTTGAAGAACCATGCGTGCTCCCACCACTCGTACCACCTAGTGGGTATGTGTTGCCAAGAGAGAACTACAAGGAACAAGAAACGACAAGGCGGGAAAGGGTGAGAGCAGTGCACTGTGCTCCAGTTGTATCTGCATTGACCCTAAACCCTTGTGTAAGACACGCCTCGAACTCGACAAGCAATATTCTTCGCATGCCTAGGCTCCTTCATGGACGGTTACACTGCATCCACATTATAGACCAGATCCGTTACTATGTACAGTCCATCTACACTCACGATGCTTCAACGGCCTTGGGGTTGTACGCCTTGGCCATCTCCTTGGCTTCTTCTGCCCGGGCTCTGTAAGCAGATTCGCTGCATTCGCGTTATAAAACTGACTCGTTACTATGCATATTTCAGCTACAGCACTCACAATGCCTCAACAGCCTTCGGATTGTACGCCTTGGCCATCTTCTTGGCGAGGTTCTTCTTCTGCCCAGGCTTCGTGGGGGCGAATACACGTTATCCGCATTATAGAACTAGTTCGTTAATGTGTACAATTCTTCTACACTCACGATGCCTCAACAGCCTTGGGGTTGTACGCCTTGGCCATCTCCTTGGCGAGGTTCTTCTTCTGTCCGGGCTCCGTGGGCGGATTCACTGCATCCGCCTCTTCGCCTGCCCCTCCTCCTGCTGCTACCGCAGCCGCTTTCTTGGCCTTCGCCTCTGCCTTCTTGGACGGCTGAAGCAGCAAGAGAAGGCAGACATGGAAAACGGGAGAGGGAGAGGGGGAGGGGGTGGGGCAGAGAGAGGAAAGGAAGGTCACGATTATGACTCTTTGACACCTAACAAAGAAAAGGCCCAAAATTCACATGTGACACAGTTTTTCGCACATTTGCAGAAACGACTGTCTTTAATAATTATCGAATAAGTAGGCGCTAGAAGGCAATCACGGCCACAATGCACACCTCAGCCGAAGCGGCAGCAGCAGCGGCTGCCTTGGCCTTGGCTGCCTTCTCTGCAGCCTTCTGCTTCTTCAGCTCCTTCTCCCGCGCCTACCCGTGACACAATGGATGGGTGACAGTAACGAGGGATGACAGTAATGGGGGTTGAAAAACAGAACCGGATTAAGAAGCCAGAGATGAACCACTTGACAGATCCCACACGCAGGATAACTGAATTATACGTCCTACTCTGGTGACAATAACGGGTTGTTGGACCTGAAAAATTGTGCATGAGAGACAGTAACAGGTGATGACGAATGAACCGGGCAGATAATCAGAGCCGTCCATCCGTCGTTCCCCCACACTTTGCCTTGGACAAGCCAACCGTGTGAGCCAATCACGAAAGACTACGAGCACCCAAACTGTTGCAAGAAAGCTTGGATTAAAACCTATGCTGACGCAATAAGGTCATTTCTGAGTTGACTCAAACATTGATACGCTGACGCGATCAGGGCGCGCTGTGGACTGAAATGCCCGAATTCGTGTAGAGCCGCCATGGCTTTGAATGACCTTTGCCGGAATGCAGACTGCTCGTGAGGAGTCCTCACTGCAGACTAACCGTGGATTAGACAAAAACGAAAGGTAGCACCCTCTAAAGTCCTCAGTATTGTCACCACCACTACAACGCCCACCTTCTCCTCCTTCTTCTTCTTCCTTTCAGGGTCCTCCTCCTTCTCTCCAGCAGCCGCATTGGCCTCGGAAGGAGGCGGTGCGGCAGCTGCTGCAGCTGCCTGAGCATCCTTTTCCTGGAAATTGCAAAAGAAATCAACAAAATGATTTAAGAAAACTGATTGAATTCCCGAAATTTTCTAGAAGAGGCTTCAGGAGGCACTGGTGCTGCTGCCTGGAATCCTTCTGTGTAAATGTATAAGAAGTCGACACGAAAGAAAACGAAAGGAAGACACAAGAACGTGGGGCGGATGAACGCGATTACTACAATATTCCGCGGCTCGAAGCTTTAGCTTGTGTGGCGAAAGCAGCTACAAACGGCCCTGCTAGCCTTGCGTGATTTTTGAGGCGCCTAAAAAATCGCGCGGCTCGAAGCTTTAGCATGTCTGACGAAAGCAGCTACAAACAGCCCTGCTAGCCTTGCGTGAACACCGTCGACGCTCCTGAGATACGGACGGAACTCTCGTGGCTCCGGTTAAGTTAACAGAAACTGGACGATGATCTTACCGCCTCGCGTGTGTTTGTCATAGCGTGTTAGCTGGACGAGAATCTCCATGCTTGAGTTGAAGTACTCTAAAGCGGACTTCGTGCCGTTCGGGTATGATAAACATTCGTTAGCCGCGATCGCGGTACATCATACTATCAATAAAGCATGCAGTGATCGCGATCACGGCCCGTAGAACCACCTCAGAAGCAAGTATTCAACGCGATCGCAAGCTTCCTATCGCATATGGGGTCTTGATCAGACGAACCATAATCCGTTACAGAGCATTTAAAGGTAATGAACAGCCGAGACGACAACGGATCGAGCGAGCAGGCTCACCTCTGGTCCCATGGCGTTCTGACGAAGAGCCGCGACTAGGCAAGGCTACAGTTGCTAGGCTGGGATCGCGGAGCGGGGTAAGAGGCAAGTCCCTAGGATGGAACTATGGGAAAGGAGGAGCAGATGCTGTGCAAGTCTGGTAAGAGTTTCACTTTTTGCGCGGTAGAACGGTTTGTTAAGAGAACAGAATGGTTAGGTAGAGTTTGAAGCGAAACTGAATCTGAGCTCAACCTCGATGATCGGAGGTACGGAGTTACTGGCTGAGGTTTGCGGACGGAGATCCCAAGGAACGACCTACGCCAGACGAAGAATCTCCAATCGACGGTTCACAAACGTCTGACCGCCAAAATCGAGGCTGGCTGGTTTTCGCCGTGGTGACAAGGGTTGCTCGACGAATTTCGCGAAACAAAACTGCGAAGGTATTAGCTCGCGCTACGATTTCAACTTCTGCTTGAAACGTCGATATTCTGGGTTTTGATAGGTGACTCGTTATTGCGCAATATTCTACTCAGCATTTGAGTTGCTAGAAAACCAGTGCACGCAGCACGTCATACCAAGAAATATTGTTCACTTGTTACGGATCACTAACATAGGGGATTCCGCGCTAAGCAGAACCCTAATTTCAGCTCAAGCAGCACCTTTCTCACTCGACCGCTGCGCGTCATGTCTACAAACGGAGGCGCGTGTGCCTGTAGAGAGGATCAAGCGAGTACAGGCGAGCAGGCTTCGAAAATGACTTCCACTTGCGAGAGCAGCGACTGTGCAAGGCCGTGTAACGGGTGCAACTGTATCGAGGATAACAACCGCGCCATCCAATCAGGCAGCTGTTCTTCCGTCAATGGCGATTGCAGCAGCTCCGATCATGCCTGCGGCTCGTTTCCCCCCGCTACCACCTCCACGAGTAGTGTTACCACTAGTATTACCGCGAGTGTTACCGCTAGTGTTACAGGTAGCGCTACCGCCACTAGAAGCGACAGCAGAGACAGCAGCAACGGCGGATGCAGCAACAGCGCGTCGAGCATCCGCATCAGCGGAAGCGGCGCAGCGGTGAGGGCGCGGGGGAGCAGAGGCGGAAGACTTCTGTGCGGGGAATGCGGGGAGCAACGCGCCATGGTGAAACGGCCCAAGACCGGCCAACAGGTGCGCGCGCCCCCTCGTGTTCCCCCGTTCCTATCCCCCTTGCCCCCTTCACCCCTCCCCCCTCACCCCCAGTCTCCCTCTCCCCTTGTCCCATCGATTCCCCCACTCGTGTCCCTTCAGGAGTGCTTCTTCCGCCTGTTCGAGTCGGAAATCCATGCCACCATCATGGCCGTCGCAAAAGCATTCGATGCGTACATGAGTTATTGTTCATGCCTGCGTGCTTCCCATTGCCCCCTCCTCCCACCCAGGTGTGCAAAGAGTGCTTCTTCCATCTGTTCGAATTGGAAATCCATGCCACCATCGTTGAAAACAAACTCTTCAAGCGAGGGGAAAAGGTCGCAGTGGCTGCGTCAGGGGGGAAGGGTGAGTAGTAGCGTTTCATCTTCGCATCCTTTATAGCCTCTAGAGATGTGCAATTTACTGCAACCTTAGATGTTCCCTACTGCAACGTACCCATCTCCATCCCCTCGCCTCTTGCTGAACCCGGGGGCTTCAGAAAAGGCCCTTCTTGCCTCTTGCTATTCCCGTCCTCTCACTTTCCCCTTCACCCCATTCCCTTCAAGCATCCTCCAGACTCCACCATGCTGGCGCACATACATCATCTCTCTCCTCAGCACACGCCACGACTACGGGGTGCGGCTCTTGCTGCTCCTGGAGTGAGCTTCCAGCTTTGATAGAACGTGCTCCTGATCCTTCACCCTCCCTTTCCCCCCTTCCCCCAGACTCCACTGTGCTGGCGCACATCATGTCTCTCCTCAACGCCCGCCACGACTATGGCCTGCAGTTGTTTCTGTGTGAGGTCAGCTTTCTGACCATGCTCCTGATCCCTCCCATTCCCCCCCCCCCTTCCCCCCCTTCCCCCAGACTCCACCGTGCTGGCTCACATCATCTCCCTCCTCAACGCTCGCCACGACTACGGCCTGCAGCTCTTCCTGCTCTCCATGTTCTCTCCAGCTCTTCCTAGAATGCATGCAGCGCATGATTCCTCAGCCCATTGTTCCCCCTCCGCCCCCCTTCTCTCGAACACCCATCCCCCAGACTCCACCGTGCTGGCTCACATCATCTCCCTCCTCAACGCTCGCCACGACTACGGCCTGCAGCTCTTCCTGCTCTCCATGTTCTCTCCAGCTCTTCCTAGAATGCATGCAGCGCATGATTCCTCAGCCCATTGTTCCCCCTCCGCCCCCCTTCTCTCGAACACCCATCCCCCAGACTCCACCGTGCTGGCTCACATCATCTCCCTCCTCAACGCTCGCCACGACTACGGCCTGCAGCTCTTCCTGCTCTCCATAGACGAAGGCATCACGGGGTACAGAGACGACTCGCTAGAGACAGTCAAGCGGAACGAGAAGCAGGTGAGTACGTTGTACTGCGCAAGGGGCGGATGTGTGTAGGCGGGAAGGGGGGAGAGACCTACTGTGTGTGTGCTATGGCCTGCAGCTGTTTCTGCTTTCCATTGACGAACGGATCACGGGGTACAGTCAAGAGAAATGAGAAGGAATTGAGCCCGGGTGTGGGTGTGGGTGTGTGTGTGTATGTGCCAAGGTCTGCACCTCTTCCTTCTCTCCATTGATGAAGACATCATGGGGTACAGGGATGGCTCACTAAAGACAATCAAGCGGAACGAAAAGCAGGTGAGCGTGACAGGTACGGCATATTCCTCACCGTCCTCTCTTACAAGGACCTCTATGGGTGGGGAGGGGACACCTTGCTGTGGGGTAGACCATTGATGAGAGACGTGCACCCCACAGCAATGGTCTACCCTTGTGGGGCACCCTTGCACGGCCGTGCAGAAAGGAACAATACCCATCGTTCCACTTTCTCGTCTCCCCTTCCCCCTACATGCACTACGGCATTCCCCTCGCCATTCTCACTTACAAGGACCTCTACCGGTGGACCATACGCAGGTTGGGCATCAATGCGCAATTCCTCCTTTTGAGTCGACTCAAAAGTGGACCATACGCAGGTTGTGCAGTACATCAATGCGCAATTCCTCCCCCCCACCCTTACCCACACTGTGCTATGCAATACGACATTCCCCTCACCATTCTCTTTTAGAAGGACCTTTACGGGTGAAGCATGGGCGAGATAGTGCAGAATGGTATTCCACTCACCAACCTCTTTTAGTACAAGCCTCGTGTTTCAGCATTCTACGTGTAGAAAGTAGATTTTTGAGGCGTCTCAAAAATCTCTTTTAGCACCATCCTCGAGTTTCAGCTTTCTCTTCTCCTCTTCCCTCTGCATACAGTATGGGTTTCCATCCAGTATTCCCCCCACCATCCTGTCGTACAAGGACCTCTATTGGTTACTGTGCCTCAGTGCCTCTGGGTTTCTCTCCCCCTCCCTCACCCCACACTACACCATGCAGTACGGCATACCGCTCACCATTCTCTCTTACAAGAACCTCTACGGATGGACCGTGGATGAGATAGTGGCGCCTATCGGTCAGTCTGTGCCTCTGTGTTTCTCACCCCCACCCCCACCATGCTATGCAGTACGGCATACCTCTCACCGTTCTCTCTTACAAAAACCTCTACGGATGGACCGTGGATGAGATAGTGGCGCCTATCCTATAGACCATCGCTCAGTGCCTCTGTGATTCTTTCCTCCACCCTCACCCCGCACTACACCATGCAGTACGGCATTCCCCTCACCATCCTGTCGTACAAGGACCTCTATTGGTTACTGTGCCTCAGTGCCTCTGTGATTCTTTCCTCCACCCTCACCCTGCACTACACACTGCAGTACGGCATCCCTCTCACCATCCTGTCGTACAAGGATCTGTACGGGTGGACCATGGATGAGAAAGGCCGTGCAGAAAAGCATAAATCTTTCCCCATCTTTTCGCTTTCTCTTCTCCCCTCCCCCTTACATGCAGTACGGTATCCCTCTCACCATCCTGTCACACAAGGACCCGTACGGGTGGACCATTGACAGACACACCATGCTTCAATGCTCCATCTCCCTTTCCCTCTCTACCCTTTGTTGACTTATCTGCAGTACGGTATCCCTCTCACCATCCTCTCACACAAGGACCTGTACGGGTGGACCATGGATGAGATAGTGGGGCCTATTGGTCAGTCTGAGCTGACTTTTGAGTCGACTCAAAAGATAGTGGGGTGGGGCCTATTGGTCAGTCTGAGCTGACTTTTGAGTCGACTCAAAAGATAGTGGGGTGGGGCCTATTGGTCAGTCTGTGCCTCTGTGTTTCTCTCCCCCACCCCCACCATGCTATGCAGTACGGCATTCCTCTCACCATCCTGTCATACAAGGACCTGTACGGGTGGACCATGGATGAGATTGTCGCAACGATTGGCCGCAAGAACAACTGCACGTTCTGCGGGGTGTTCAGAAGACAGGTGGGCGTTGAGGTATTTTTTTACGACTTCCCTCGTCCTTTCAGACCGATAGAATTAGTAGATCGTTCATAGACTCTTAGAAGGCTTGCAGCGGTTCGAAACCAGTTAGTCTCACCGTGTTCAGAAGACAGGTGCATTGAGGTTGAGGTTTGCTGGTGGGTCTGTGACAAGGAATGCTGTCTTTGACAAAGTGACTTTTGAGTCGACTCAAAAGTCACCTCTGTGGCGAGGAATGCTGTCATGTGAAAAAGGAAGAGTTTTAAGACGTCTCAAAAATCTTCTTATTTCACGTGGTTTGCTGGTGGGTCTGTGACGAGGAATGCTCTCGAGGCTGACAGGTGACAAAGTCTCACAGTTTTATTGACGAGGCACACGTCGCTGCGCTGCTGCTGATGCCTCGCACGGGACTAGTTTTGAGGCGCCTCATGACTTGAGGCATACGTTACTGCAAATGCCTTGACTGCGAATGGTCTTCTGCCCTTAATCTCCTTGAAATGCCCCGCTCCAGGGCCCTGATCATCCTTGTTTTAATGGGCCTCTTAAAATTCCCTTTACATACATCACAGGCCCTGGACAGGGGAGCACCGCTCCTGGGAGCGGACGATCTCGTCACGACGGGGCACAACGCGGATGACTTTGCCGAGACAGTACTGCTGAACCTGCTGAGGGGAGACGTGGCGAGGCGAGGCTCAGTCGCTGAGCCGCCATCACCACGGGGGAGGACTCTGCCCTTCCCAGGAGCAGGCCGTGCTGCTGCGGAGCACATTTCTCTCTCGATCTCCATCTCTCAGTGTTTTTCTGCTCTCTCTCTCTCCTCCTGTTGGCCGCCCTCCCATGGCACAAGGCCTTAGACAGGGGAGCAGCCCTCCTGGGAGCGGACAAGCTGGTCACGGGGCACAATGCAGACGATTTCGCCGAGACAGTATTGCTGAATCTATTGAGGGGGGACGTGGCGAGGCTCAGTCGCTGCGCTGCCATCACCACGGGGGAGGACTCTGCCCTTCCCAGGAGCAAACCGTTCAAATACACCTACGAGAAGGAGATTGTCATATATCCGCCCCCAATGTTTTTTTCGTGTTCAGTCTCTTTTACCCCTGGTACCCCGCACTCTCTAGAATACGAGCAAGCACTTCAAATACACCTACGCGAAGGAGATCGTCATATATTCGCCCCCGATCTGAGATCCACAAAATTTCCCTTGCCTCTTGATTTTCGATGTGTGCTTGATTTATCTAGGTTTTTCTATGTACTTCAGTTCTCTTTACAATTCCTGTGGCCATGCCCTTTTTTCGATCAGCAAAGTAGAATAAATATATTCCCTTGTAATCCAGCATTCCTTAACTCCTCTCCTCTTCTCCAACCCCCTCGCTTTTCCTGCGCTCTTTCCTCACTCCCTCCTCTCTCCTCCTTACCCCACTCTTTTCTTCCCCCTTGTTCGTTCCTCTCCCTCCCTTATCCCCGCTCCATCCGTGCTTTCTCTGTTTTCATCCATCTCCCCCGTTGCTCACCTCCCTTTGTCATCCCACGATTGCGATCCTTCCCCGTGCTCCCCCTCCCCTTCCCCGTGCTCCCCCTCCCCTTCCCCGTGCTCCCCCTCCCCTTCCCCGTGCTCCCCCTCCCCTTCCCCGTGCTCCCCCTCCCCTTCCCCGTGCTCCCCCTCCCCTTCCCCGTGCTCCCCCTCCCCTTCCCCGTGCTCCCCCTCCCCTTCCCCGTGCTCCCCCTCCCCTTCCCCGTGCTCCCCCTCCCCTTCCCCGTGCTCCCCCTCCCCTTCCCCGTGCTCCCCCTCCCCTTCCCCGTGCTCCCCCTCCCCTTCCCCGTGCTCCCCCTCCCCTTCCCCGTGCTCCCCCTCCCCTTCCCCGTGCTCCCCCTCCCCTTCCCCGTGCTCCCCCTCCCCTTCCCCGTGCTCCCCCTCCCCTTCCTGTCTCCCCCTTGCCCCACCACTCCTTCCATCTGTTCCTCACTCCCTTCCACTGTGTAACCACGTAACCTGCTTCAATGCAACGTTGTAACATTGGTTGGTCTGTCAACGTTCGATCAGCACGTACGCGCATTTCAAGAAGCTGGATTACTTCTCCACCGAATGTAAGAATCCCTCTTGCTTATTCAGAAAACAATCTACACGAACGTTATGGGAGTCCCAACGCTGGGTGAACGTTATGGGAGTCCCTGTCAAATAGGCCGACGCTGGGTCCCAACGTGCTCGTTGCTCCCAACGTGCTCGTTGCTCTTGTTTTGAAGGTTACCATGATTGGAATGGGCACCCTAACTAAACAGTACTGGCAAACTGCTCCTTCTCTAGGCGACTTTTGATTCGACTCATGAGTCACCAAGAATATCTGCGTCTGCACCACCACAAGCACATCTGAACAATTCAGGTGACATGAACGGCTCCTTTTTCTGTCCAAAGTCAAGCAAGCGACCATCTGCTGCACTCTTCCCACATGCTTCCAACAGGTTTTCCTTCTGTCACCCCTCCAGTCATTTGTTTTGTTTGTCCCCCTTACTCTCGTCTGCCCTCTCCGCCCCGTACCTTTGCCTATGCTTCCACGCACCTTCCCTCGAGACACCTATCGTATCTTGGCACCTTCGAGTTTTGAGTTGACTCAAAACGTCCACGCACCTTCTCTCCAGACGCCTATCATATCTGGTTTTGAGACGTCTCAAAACACTTCTTCAAACACGTCGCCCCGTGCCTGTGTGTGCCTATGCTTCCACGCACCTTCCCTCCAGACGCCTATCGTATCTTGGCACCTTCCCCAGTACTTATCACCCGCTTCTCCTACCTAAAATGCAACAACCTCCTTCTCTCTCCCCTTCTCTCTCCCCTTCTCTCTCCCCTTCTCTCTCCCCTTCTCTCTCCCCTTCTCTTCTCCCCTTTGCTCTCCCGTGCATGTGCGTGCAGGCATCTATTCTCCAGACGCCTATCGAGGCTTTGCCCGTGAATTTATCAAGGACCTAGAGGCCATACGGTGAGTGCGTGATTGTAAACCATACGGCAAGTAAGTGGTTTTTGAGTCGACTCAAAAGACGCCTATCGAGGCTTTGCCCGTGAATGCATCAAGGACCTAGAGACCATACGGTAAGTGGGTGCTCATCTTTTGAATGGTAGCCTTGCGGCCATGGTGCTTACCTATCCAACTCTACTTGAATTGAACCACCAAGGAAGCCTATCGAGGCTTCGCCCGTGATTTTTTCAAGGACCTAGAGGCCATACGGTGAGTGGGTGTGTACCGTGACATATGCTGTCCATGTGCCCATGCAGTTACTTGCTCTCCTCCTCAAATTCTCAAAAGCGACATCCATCATCCACCAGGACTTAGAGGGCCATTGCTCGCCCATGTGCGGTCAGGTCAGGCCTCGAGCCATTCTGGACACAATCAAGTCTGCGGAGGAGTTCAGATTCTAAGTTGACAACAGGGTGAATACTTTAGAGTTCTTCTTGGTGTGCGAAATTAATCGTCCCAAGTGTTTGCTCACACTCTCAGGCATCAAGCCATTCTGGACATATTCAAAATTACTTAGAGCCATTCTCGGGCATCAAGCCATGCTTGGAGGAGCTCAAATTCCTTCAAGCTGACAATGGGTTCAAAAAATATAACCGCTCCTCTTGGTTTGCAAAATTCAATTTCCCCTGTGTGTGTGCTTATTCAGGCCACGAGCCATTCTGGACATAATCAAATCTGCGGAGGATTTTAGATTCCAGGCTGATGCAAAGATGCCAACTCAGCGCACCTGTGACCGATGTGGTTACATCTCCAGCCAGGTACGGTTACATCTCGATTCAGGTGTAGTTACATCTCCAGCCAGATACGGTTACAATGTAACGCATGAAACCGACCCGCCTATTGTAGGTATCTGTTAGCTGCTTCGTGCATTCGAATGGTCCTTCATTGAATATAACGTGTAATACAGCAAGGTAATGTTACGTATAGCTGGAAGTACAGGCATGCATGTGTAGGGACTGAAGGCAGCTCGAAGTCAGCTGCTTCTTGCGTTCACTCTTCCTCGAGGTGTCTGTACAGGCAGTGCTTGCCGAATCTCGAGGCGCCTCAAAAGCCGAGACGACTGTTGACTTTTGAGGGGCCTCAATAGTTACCTCGAGGTTTCTGTAGAGGCAGTGCTCGCCGAATCACCTCCTTGTTAGTCCTTCTGCATTTTCCGCCAAAACCAACTCCTCTTTTCCATATCAGCAGGAACTCTGCCGGTGTGCTCCTGGAAGGCATGAATCACGATCGTGTGAAACTCTCCTCTCTCCTCTCTCTTCTCTCCTCTCTCCTCTCTCTTCTCTCCTCTCTCCTCTCTCTTCTCTCCTCTCTCCTCTTTCGACCTCTCTCTGCTCCTCCCTGCCTGCACCCCTCAAACTGAATTCCCAGGAGCTCAGCAAGGGTGTGTGCTCCTGGAAGGGTTGAATTACAATGGCTTAATAATCGCTTCTTTCCCTCCCTTCCCTCTTCCCCTCTTCCCAAGAACATTTCACCAGGAGATTGCAAGGCGTGTGTGCTTCTGGAGGGGTTGAATCACAATTGATTAAGAGTCGCTTCTTTTCCTCCCCCACTTCTTTCCCTCTTCCCGAAATTTTATTACCAGGAGCTGTGCAAGGCGTGTGTGCTCCTGGAAGGGTTGAATCGCGGCTTGCCCCGCCTGGGCGTGGCTCGCACTCGCAGGAAAGATGGGCAAAACGCTGCTGCTAGGGGTGCTGCTACTGGTGATGCTGCTACTGCTGCTAGTGCTGCTGGTGCCGCTGATGCTGCTGGTGGTGGTACAAGCTGAGACAGCCGCTGCTGGTACTGCCGCCACTGTTGATGCTGTTACACTTGTTGCTGCTGGTGTGCCTCCTGCGGCTAATACAGAGGCTACCAACTGATGCCAATCAAGCAGGCAATCAATCTCAGCAGCTTTCAATTCTCTTGCCTCATTGCCACAGGTTATGGCTTCTGACTTGCTTGCTCATGCGTGTATGTAAGAAAGGGACAAGCAGGAAGCAGGTGTATTGCTGCTGTAGCAGAGCGGATCATTGGCCCCACTAGCAAGTGTTCTTCCCAGCTCTGTGTTGCAGCAGCATGTCTCGAAGTGTGATGTATCTGCGAGGCTTGCGTAAGTACTGGTAGACTGGACAAGCAGGAGTTTCTGAGTCTCAGATCCACTCGTGTATGGATTAGATTCCAGTGGTACTGATAATGAAGAGTAAATTTGCTGGTGATCCCGCTGAAACGGTATGCTTATCAATTAGATACACAAGTTCAAAACAATACTTAACCCTCCACCACACCGCACCCATCTAAATCACACTACTTATCCATTCCTCATCCATCCCTACCGTGTCCACTTGCTCCCGCTGATCTTCTGTCACATTTTACTCCGAACCGCAATAAACTTGGTAAGTTCAACATCCTCTCGCAATGTCTGCAAGGCAGTACCAGCGCGCGCGAGATTCCTCGTATTTACACGTGCGCTTGTTAGGAAGCGCTCTTATTCGTCCAAACCAGACCCCTCCGTCACTTGCGGACGAGGGAGGTCTGGTATCTTAGCGCGAAATAGAACAGGATCCTGTACCCGATAAAAAACGACACCATCACCACTGCAGACTCCCAGAGCTTGCTGTCCGCCATATCGAATCTCGCAATAACGGTGTCGGAGGTGACTATACAGGGCGAGGACGGGTCGCTCTTAACGAGGTATTCCCAGCAGACGGAGGGGAGAGAGCCGTACTCGTTGAGAGTGAGCATTTCCAAGGGGTACTTGAAGGTGGAGAGGTAGTTCATCCAGATCCAGTACGGTGGAATGTTGTTCCTGAGTGCGGGGAAGAGGGGGGATGGAGAGAGCGGTAGATTAGAGACGTGGTGGGGACTTACGGGAAGAGTTAGGAGGGAGCCATGCTTGTGGATAGAGAGCATCTGAAAAGCGGTAATAATTGGAGGAAAAATACTATATCCAGATCCAGTACGATGGAATGCTATCCACGAGTATCTTACTTTGAAATGAAGAAGCCACTAAAGAGGAAGAAGAACGCCGTGATCGCCGTGACCACGGTATTCCCGGTGATGTAATTCGGCACGAACGCCGCGAAGAACACGACGAACGAATTCCCCACCGCGAGCGTCAGAAACACCGTCGCGACGAAGCGGAAAAACGCCGTCGCCGTCGCCGCGAGGCCGACCATGAAATACGCGACGCACGAGAAGAGCAGCGAGAGGAGGAAGAGGAACGGCAGGAAAACCAGCGCGCCCGCGAGCACGTACGATCCCGTGCGGTACGCGCCGCGCGATGTTTCCCGGATGTAGATCTGCCGTTCGTCGAGGAAGATCGGAAGGCCCTCGGTGGACGTGAACAGGAGTAGCGCGAGCGCGAACGCGAAAAACGACGCGCGGTTTGTGATGCCTTCCGCGTCGTACCCCGATTTAAGAAACAGCGACCCGAGAATAAGCCCAGTGATCACCATGAGGCCGATACGCGATAAGAAGAGCTCCGGCGTTCGGAAGATGTTTTTAAAGTTGCGATCGGCGAGCGTTAGGGTTTCGTGGAGGAAGGGCGTGGCGAAGGTTCGCGGAGGAGGGGAGGCGTGGTGGTGCGGGCCGAGCGCGCTGTGGGTGGCGAGGGACCGCTCGTGCTCATAGCGCTCCTTCTGTTAAGAGGGCAGGGGCAGTGGAGGGGAGTGGGAAGGGAGAAGAGGGGAACGGGGAAGGGAGGGGGGAAGATAAGGGGAACATGGGGGACGCCTGGCGGTGCAGGCCGAGGGCTCTGTGGGTAGCGAGGGACCGCTCGTGTTCGTAGCGCTCCTTCTGGAGAGGGCAGGGGCAGTGGCGGGGAGGGGATGGGGGAAGCAGGGGCTAATTGGGTGAGGCGTGGCGTTGCAGGCCCAGAGTGCTGTGGGTGGCGAGGGAACGCTCCTGCTCGTATCGCTCCTTCTGGTGGAAGGGGATGGAGGAAATGGGAGGAAGGGAGGGGTTAGAGGTGGGGAAGGAGAGGAGGGGGGGGGGAGACGCAGTGGTGATGCCGGTGGCGGTAACACCTTCTGGTGGTAGAGGAGGGGGGTGGGTTGAGTCATGACACCTGCCTGCCATGGTGGGTTGAGCCATGGCTTGTACCATGGTGGGTTGAGCCATGGCTTGTACCATGGTGGGTTGAGCCATGGCTTGTACCATGGTGGGTTGAGCCATGGCTTGTACCATGGTGGGTTGAGCCATGGCTTGTACCATGGTGGGTTGAGCCATGGCTTGTACCATGGTGGGTTGAGCCATGGCTTGTACCATGGTGGGTTGAGCCATGGCTTGTACGTACCATGGTGGGTTGAGCCAAGGCTTGTACGTACCATGGTGGGTTGAGCCATGGCTTGTACGTACCATGGTGGGTTGAGCCAAGGCTTGTACGTACCATGGTGGGTTGAGCCATGGCTTGTACCATGGTGGGTTGAGCCATGGCTTGTACGTACCATGGTGGGTTGAGCCATGACTCATACCATGCCCTCAGAGTGCACATGGACTGAGCTCGTCATACCAAGGTATGCCATCCAACCCATTCCGTGTCACCGTCACTGGTCGTTGCACTTACGCTGAATCAAATGAGCTTATCCAGCCCCCTCCCCTTCACACCATACCATGACCTTGATTCCAGTCATGAGTGAATGCATGCATCCATCCCACGTCCCATACACTGTCGCTGGTAGCTGCATTTACACCTGAACCGGATCAGGACATTCAGCCCCCTCACCTTCAGATCACCCCATGGCATTGGTTTCAGTCATGAGTGAACGCATGCCATGATGCCATCCATCCCATCCCATGTCACCTTCGCTGGTCGCTGCACTTACACTGAATCGAATCAACTCGTCCAGCCCCCTCTCCTTCTGCTGCTCCTCCTCAATCATGTCAAGAGCATACTCGAGCGCATTCACCTGAAGATGCACGAACAGCACACAAGGGAGCAAAAACAAGCAGATACCATGAGATGTGAAATGAGAGA